AATATATCTTTATGGCTGTCAGGAGGATCAAAGGCCAAGATCCTCAAGTGATTAAAAAAAAGAATGGATCATTGGCAAGAGACCGTTTAAACAAGGCGAAAATCTTAACTCATGTAAATAACAAGAAATGATTAAAAGGCTCTATGTGCTAGGCACCATGCCAGGGGTTAGAATACACATAAGCCTTGGTGCCTTCTTACAACAGGATTCCAATCAATAAGTGGGGACAGAAGGTAAATACATTTAAAGCCAAACGATGTTCTAGAAATTAGATTGTAAGTGTGTATGGAGTGCAAAGAGAGTGAAGGGAGTCATTCAGATAGAGAGTCAGGAAGTCTTCTTCAGAGAGAAGATGGCCATTGCCATGTGGACTGTCCAAGAAACAGATGGAGTAGGACAGGCACTTGGGCAGAAGCGAGAGTGGGAGCAAAGACACACAGCTGGCTGAGGCCCACCATCATTTGTATGGACAAAGGCTACCATGGTAGGGGGAAAATGAAGAGAGCAAAGGGGTGGGTAGCAAGAGATCAAGTCACAGAGGTGGGTTGCAGGCCAGGGTGGTCTTGCATTCCAAACTCTGTTTAGAAAGATCATCCCAGAAGCTGGCATGGACGGTGGGATTGAAAGGACCAGACTTCATTTGGGAGGACATTAAGAGAATACCACAGCAATACAGAAGAGCGAATTGACGGGAATAAGAATGCTTGAGGAGGTAGAATGCAGACAATGTGGTGTCTACATGTGTGCCTGAGCTGTGCTGCCAGATCTCACTGTCTACAATACAGGTCCTCCTGGACCAATGTCCCACATGCATGTCAGAGTCTGGATACTCCAAATCCCTGCCCCCTTGCAGACCTGCACTAGTTCCTTAATGACACCACTATCTACCACCCCCTCAAGCCAGAAATTGCTCTCTTCCTTGGCAGGGTACCAAATTAGTTTAGTTTCCAAGTAACTCATTCCGACAGTTTCTTTCCATTGCACTCTCGCTTCCCTAGTTCAGGGGACCTTCGCTTTTCTAGAGTTTCCCAAATTTTATTTTTGTCACTAGTCTTGGTCTCTCACATTGCTGTTTTTTTTTTTTTTTAGCGAGAGAACGGTTTTTCTAAAATTAATTCTCATTATCTTTACTAAAACACTCCAGAAATTCTTCAGTGTCTTTAGGTTCAAGCAAACCCCTGCATATGGCTTAAAATGTCCCAGATGAACAAGCCACATTCGCCTCTCAAGCCACATCCACATTGCACTCCCTGCCTCAGCCTTCCTATATTAGTTTGGTTTCCTGAACAAACCACATACCTTTCCATCTTTGTTCTTGTGGTTCCCTCCAGGTAATCTCCCCACCTCTTCCCTTTACCTGGTTAACTAGTGCAAAGACAGACAGTGCTAAGCCTAGATGCTACCTCCTCCAGGAAGCTTTACCCACATCCATGTTGGTGACTTTTCTCAGTGTTCCTAGCATCCCCCTCATCAATCAAGACACAACCCAAGTACCTTGGGAACTCCCTGGTATTTGTATCTTCACCCCCTCACCCCACCACCACCCCTCCTTTTCATCTCTAGACAGTAAACTCCTCAATGTCAGGACCCATGAGTAACCCATTCCGTGAGAGTTCCCATCCTATAGCTCATTATCGGATATTTGATAGTTACTCAAAAATGACTGAGAAGAGCAAAGGTCCAGTGAGAGACCCTGGGGATCATGTGCATTTGATGGGCAGGCCAAGCAGAAACCTACCTGAGAAACTAAGAACAACTATCAAGGAGAGAACCAAGGCAGACAGCACTGCTGCAGGGCAAGAAGAGAGAAGGGTCAAGTATCAAGGCAGGACAAATGAGATGAAGGGTGAGGAGAATACTCTCCATGCAGCAGGACAGCTTCCGGGAAGTGATGGGGTGAGGGCTTGGTGCAGTGTGTTTAAGAGTGAGTGGCACCGGGCTCGGTGGCTCAGCCTGTAATCCCGCACCTTTGGGAGGCTGAGGTGAGTGGATTGCCTGAGCCCACAGGTTCGAGACCCACCTGGGCAGCGAGACCTCATCTCTACAATAAATCAAAAAATCAGCCGGGCATGGTAGCGCATGCTTGTAATTCCGGCTACTTGGAAGGCTGAGGCAGAAGGATCACCGGAGCCCAGTAGGTCGATGCTGCGGTGGCCGGGAGTGGCCACTGCACTCCAGTCTGGGTGACAGAGTGAGACTCCAACTCAAAAAAAAAAAAGAGTGAGTAGCAGGTAAGTTAGATCACAAAGCAAGAAGAAAATCCTGAAAATACAGATACAAGCTAGCTGAGGGCTGAGGAAACATGATACCTGTGGTGGGGTATGGCGTATCAAGGACAAAGAGGAATTATGTGTGAGTGCATGCATGTGTGTGTGTGTGTGTGTGTGTGTATGCTACAATTCCTTTTTAAAAAAACTCCACCATAAATCTGACTGGCAAAGAGAGTGAACAGTGAGTCAAATATTCAGGTACAGAATAAGCATTTATTAAATGAAAACTATAAATAATAAATGAATAAATAATAAATGAATGAAAATTATAAATAATAAATAATAAATGCATTCATACAGGAGATTTACATCATCAAAAAAAAGCAGATTGTATTAAACTGTCATCTTAAAAAAATTGCCCCCTTTGTTTCAGAAGAGACCATTTAGCTCATGGATCAAAGTTTAATTCACTGTCTGAATTCACTATTTTCACTGTCTATAACATTATTGTACTATCAACGAGACATCTATTTTCATAGTCACCCCAAAACTTCCCTGCAGAAAACCTCAGACTTTATATATGATCCACTAACCCCACTCATTCACATAAATAGTTTCAGCTTTCTATCTAGTAAATGCCCCGAAGCCAGACGGGATACAGAGACCATCAAGGAAGGGATACTTTTGAGAAGCAATAAAGTCATCTTGGATATAGGAATGTCTAATCAGTAAAGAAAAATAAATGCAAACAAACAAACAAAAACCACACTTTTCCTTACAAATAGGTTTGTCTTTTAAGTCCCAGTCAGATATAAAATTTTGTCAGGTTGCCATGGTATTAATTTCACTTAGAGAACACATTGAGGAAAACAGACTTAAAACATTCAATTACTTTTCATGAGACATATGCTTCTTATGCAATAAACAATACATTTAGCATCAATAAGCTCTAATTTTAGAAACATTCATCCACAACATGAATCAGTTAGTGATAAATACAACTTCTACTTGGTTCCTACTTTTCATGCTCAACTTTCTAAGACTATACTACACAGTATCTCAAAAATATTAGTTTACTTATTCTGAAAGAAGTTTACATTCCTAGGTACCATCTGTGCAATAAATATATACACATATAAGTCAAATAAAAGTTTGATGGAAAAAACACTTTTCTTATGAGGAACTGCATTTCTGACCAAGCACCTCATCCTGAACCTTTCAGAGAAATGATCATAAAATCCTCTATGTAATCAAATTATAAATATTTCAGAATAGGTTAAAGCTTCCCAAATTGCATATATAAAAAACACACACACATCCAAAATACTACAATGCCTTCAGAGAACTCAGCCATATGACACAGCTTTATTCAAGGAGGCTACTGCTGGATGGTATAGTTTTCACTATGCTTACTATCCGAAAGATTACAAATTTTGGCCAGTAGCACCCCATTAGGCATGGTGAAAACCAAAGCAATGTGCCCACACATTTTCAAATGCCCTCTAGGGGAATGAGTACTGTTCCAGCTTAGAACCACCAAGTCTCCCTGGTTTACAGAAGACATCAAACCCAGACAGTAGGAAGTGCCCACATTTACATCAGTAGGTAATGACAGTGTCAGGTCTCCAGTAAGCCAGAGTCACTGAGTATCCAGCAGAGAATGTCAGCATAATGGGCATGCTCTTATCATATTTTCAGTTCTGCCTTACTCTTCCTGTTTTAGGTAATCTTTTCATCAAATACTTTCTAACCTTACATGTAGTCATCATTTTAACCACTTGTCAATTCCTTTGTCCCATTTATTCACATCCCTCCCCAAGATCAACCTTGGACCACCTCACCCCAACTGAATCCGGGCTTGGCTTCCTGAGGACAGCGGATGGGCATCAGCACAGACCCAGGGTTCCAACAGAGCAGCCCTGATGGACCAGCCTTCTATGTCACTGTCACCATAGGCTCATTCATTCACACTGTTTCCTCTACAGGAGCACTGCCCAACCAGCAGGAGGCATCTTCTGTTTCACAAACAGAGGCCTCCATTTTCTTCTGTCCCACCCACAAACTACTCTCATTTAGTAACTGGGGTTTGATTAATCTGACATGAAATTTGAGATGGCTTTTATCTTCCCTCTGCTCTCTCTAATTTTTCTCTTTCTTTTTATCTTATTATTTCCCCACCATCAGACTGAACAGAAACGATTCACCAGAGATAATCTTAGGTCTCTTTCCAACTGTGGGAATAAGTCTAAAGGGGTCTCTACTAAATTTGAGGTCATATAGGTTTTTGGTAGATTGCTCATTTCTATTCTTTTGTATTTAAGTTTAAGAGGTTTTGCCATAATTCATACTGAGCTATAGAAAATGTTTTTCTAGTATCTATTGTATTTTTATTTATTTTTTATTTTTTTATTTTTTTTGAGTTGGAGTCTCACTCTGTCACCCAGACTGGAGTGCAGTGGCCGCTCCCGGCCACCGCAGCCTCGACCTGCTGGGCTCCGGCAATCCTTCCGCCTCAGCCTTCCAAGTAGCTGGAACTACAGTCGCATGCTACCATGCCCAGCTAATTTTTGATTTATTGTATTTTTAATGTCCTCCTGTAGAAAAATTTAAAAGTTAAAAATGCCTATTGTCTCCTGATTTGTTTCACTTAACTTTAATTTTCTTTCTCATTTACAGAGAATGTCTAAAATCTGAGATCATTCATCTAATTGTGATCTCTTTATATGTGTAAGTTTGAAATTAGAAATCGGTAGGAAGTGTATAATATCTGAAGAGGGCCTGCATGCTTACCCGAATGTATGCATCCTGGTGGTGCTTAGCAAAGTACAGCATGTTGTCCAGAGCCAACATCCCGGGAGGAGTCTGGGTGAAGTCCATGGCAGGGTTGACATGATTCTGTGATTAAAACAAAATATTTGATAAGATTAATTCTCCAGCAGCTTGCACCAACCACCAGGGATTGGATATCCCTCCTCAAAACTGAAATACAAGGCAGGCTTCAAATAATCAAATGCAATATCGTTTTCTATCTCCATGTAATCATGCTGGGATGGGGGTGGGGGTGGGGACTTCTTTCTACAACTCCTCAGGCTCAGCAAAATCAGCTTTTATACCTGGGATTAGGAAATCAAGTTAAAACCCAAAATATAGGATTATTCTTAGACATGTGACATCGTGAGGAAAAGAAAATGACACAAAAATTTCCAGTGGCTGCACTAAAGTAAATCCAACAGGCATTGGAGGAGAGCAATCCAAGATAAAGCTACATCCCTGCTATTTGACTCAGAACCTGACTCCCAGGAAGCCATTACCTGTCTGCACCTTAACTCCCTTATTCTCATATGTAAGGGTAAGTATGGCCACACCTGTTGATGGGCTTCATGAACTGTCCAGGGTTACAAAATCTACAGGCCTCAGAATACAGACACAATAATATTCAGATGTTCACGGGGTCCTGACATCTGCCTGCCTTCAGGAAGTCTAAGAAGACAGAACCTTCCTGTCTGTGGCCTTATGGTCACCACACACAGCACTCAGTACCCCAAAAATGAAGTAATAGTTATAGATACACAGGACACAAACATCCCAACAAGAAAACTCCACAAATAATCTCACTAAAAATTGAGCAAAGAACATGAGTAGATATTTTTCAAAAGAAGACATACAAATGGCCAACAAGTATATGGAATTATGCTCAACATCCCTAATCATTAGAGAAATGCAAATTAAAACCACAATGAGATAGCATGTTACACTAGTTAGAATGACTATTATTAAAAAGACAAAATATAACAGATGTTGGTGAGGATGTAGAGAAAAGAGAATTCTTATATACACTGTTGGTGAGAATGCAAATTAGTACAATCTCTATGGAAAACACTATGGAAATTTCTCAAAGAACTAAAAATAGAACCACCATATAATCCAGCGATCCTTCTACTGGGTAACTACCCAAAGGAAAAGAAATCATTAGACCAAAAACATACCTGCACAACCATATTTATTGCAGCACGATTCATAATAGAAAAGAGATGGGGAGAAGCGGCAAGATGGCGACGGGGCAACCCAATCTCTGAAGCCCTCTGCAAAGGAGATCTGCAGTGGGTCTCTGACTCTCGCCCCGGGGGGCTGGGGATCCCAACATCGCAACCTGCTCTTCATACAGAGCTCAGCCGTTGCTACCGCTGGGACATTGCAAAGGACTGGACAGTTATTGCGCGCAAACAGTGCCGCTGCCGCTGCCACCACAGCCCCTCCCCCCGCCGCTGCTGCCGTCGCCGCCGCTGCCACAGCCTCTGTGACAGGTAGCATATCACACCACCCGGCCCGAGGCGATCCACATCAAACTCCTTCAGGGAAGATCTGCTGGGATCGCTGCCACCTCTCCTGAGTCTGAGACTGTCCTGCGCGCCCGGCATAAGGCTCCTGTTGCCTGCTCAGAAGCAGGCAGCCATCTTGTTCCTGTCCGGCCCCACCCGCTCTGGGGTGAGCAGCTGAGATAGCACCACCTGCTGGCGATTCAAGGTAACAACACCGAAACAGGAGAAACAAGCTTGGTAAAGACATAGACCAAAGTGCTGAACGGAGGGTAATCTGAACTGTCCTTCACAGCAGATCAGGGGCAACCGACCCTAACTGCAAACTAATTTACCACTTGAAAAAAAAACTAGAAATCAGACCTGAAAGGACATTGGACTTAAACGAAATGTCTCAGAGTGTGCTTCATTGATTCTATTAGTTTAATGACTTAATTCTATTCCTACTGTATTGTTCCCTTTTTTCTTTTCCTTTTCTTCTCTTTTCTTCTCTCTGTAAACCATATCTTTGTATAGAGGAACAGCACACTAACAAGGTGGTTGGTTAGCTTGTATGTTAACATCACTATATGTTTTATTTTTATTTTTTATTTTTTTTGTATGAGAGTTGGTTCGTCTGTAGCTGTGGTCTATTGTTTTTATCTGTTTCAGTATAGGCCTCTCTTTCTATTTGTTGGCACACTCGTTTGTTTCCCCCCTTACTCCTCTATCTCTCCACTCCCCTCTTCAACCCACTATCTGCTCCATTCTCTCCCCTCTGCTAACCACATTTTATTTCAGGGAGTAAACCTACAGCCCCACTGCACAGACAGATTCCAGGGCAATGGGAAGTGGGTTCCACATTATCCACACACCTGTCAGCGAATACCAGGACCTGCAGACAGATTTTGAATCACAGCTCTCCCCTTAAGTAAATCTCAAAACTGCAAAAAGGACCACCTCCAACCTACAGTGCAACTTCAGAATTGAACAAAGTAAGAGGACATACGTAAAGAATAGGAGATTGAACAAACAGAAGTAAAACCAAACCCTTTACCCCTGAATAACAGAATTAAAGAAGATGGTGACGTGGAGGGAAGGAAAAAGTAGGGAGGGAGGAAACCCGCACAAATGAAGAAAAACCAAAAGAAGAATATAGGTCATACACAGACCCCTGGGAAATCAGACACTGAGAAAACAGATTCTGGAACACAAATAATGAAGAGTCCCCAGAATGACTGGTTACATGCAACAAACCCAGACATCAAGACATGGAGAGAATTAACAAAATTGAGGAGAGACAAGAGGAAAATAGGAAGGAGCTGATGTCAGAAATGACAGCAGTAAAGAAAACTGTGATGGAAATGAACAACAGACTAATAAACATGGAAAGCAGAATCAGCCAAGCAGAAGAAAGAATCTCAGAGTTCGAAGACCAAAACACAGAACTAACCCAAACTGTCAAAAGCATAGAAAAGAAGCTCAAAAAGACAGAACAAAACCTGCAAGAGATGAATGATCACTTCAAGAGACCAAACCTAAGAGTAATTGGGCTTCCTGAGGGAGAAAGAGAAACAGAAGCCACACTGGAACAAACATTTCATGAAATCATTCAAGAAAACTTCCTTCATCTCATTAAGGATGAAAAAATTCAAACACAAGAGATTCAGAGAACCCCTGCAAGACAACAAATGAGAAGACCAACTCCCAGACACGTAATAATTTGCCTAAACAAAGTAGTTATGAAAGGAAAAATCCTAAAGGCAGCAAGAGAAAAAGGCCAGACTACCTACCAGGGAAGACCAATTAGAATAGCAGCAGATTTATCCACAGAAACCCTTCAGGCCAGGAGAGCCTGGAGCCCTATCTTCAAAGTTCTAAATGAGGAACTATTTCAACCAAGAATAACCTACCCAGCCAAACTAAGCTTCATTAGTGAGGGAGAATTGAAATCTTTTCCAGACATCTAATCCCTAAGAACCTACGCTGCCACCAGACCACCTCTACAAGAAACACTTAAGAAAGTACTGAACACAGAAGAAAAAGAAAAAAGAACAACAGCATTCTTCACAAGAGTACAGGCAAAAGATTAAAAACACACATGAACCAACTCCAAAACCCAAAGAAAGACAACAAACAAACAGAAATAACTCTGTAAGAACCTTATGACAGGGATCAACTCTTGCATTTCAATTATTAGCCTAAATGTGAACGGATTAAATGCACCACTGAAAAGACATAGGATGGCAAAATGGATAAAATATCATCAGGCAACAATCTATTG